CATATTTCCCCCCATTTTATCCATAAATTTATCTTAAAATTGACATCTCATTAAAAAACGACATATTTCTCTCTTTCATATATACTAAAGGACACCTTGGTTGCCTCCACATTTTGCTAAATAAAGCTGCTATGAAGATTTATGTGAATGTTTTTGTGTTCATATGTGTTTTCAATTCATTTATATAAATACCAAAAAGCATGACTACTGGGCTACAGAGTATGAGTTCATTTAGTTTTCCAAGAAACTGTTAAACTTTCTTCTAAAGCGACTATACCATTTGGAATTCCCACCAGCAATAAAAGAGAGTTTCTGTTGCTTCTCAATCTCACCAGCATTTGGTGGTGTCAGTGTTTTGCATTGTGGCCATACTAACAGGTATGTAGCGGTATCTTATTTTTGTTTTATTTTCCATTCCCTAATGTTACATGCTATTGAGCACCTTTTCATCTGCTTTTTTTGCCATATGTATATCTTCTTTGGTGAGGTGTCTGTTCATTTTTTTTTTTTGCTCATTTAAAAAAAAAATAGGTTGTTTTCTTCATTACTATTTAAATAGTTCTTTATATATTTTGGATATCATCGTTTACCTAATAAGTATTTTGCAAAGATTTTTCTCACATTCTGTGACTTGTCTTCTAATTTTCTTAACTGTCTTTGTCACAGAATTGTTTTTATTGTAATGAAGTCTAACTTACCAATTTATTATTGATTGTTCTTTTGATGTTGAATCTAATAAGTCATCACCAAACCCAAGGTCATCTAGATTTTTTATTCACCATAAAACTGCAAAAAAAAACCCAAAACATCACTTTATAAAAAGTTTACAGCAAGTTTTATGGAATAGTGGTCATTTCTTTACATCAAGATGATTGAAAGAAAAAATGACTTGGGATAAATTAGACTACCGGTGAGTTCAGTTTTTTTATTTCATGTTCCCCTCTGAAAATGTGTAGATGTGTGTGCACAAGAAAAAGCTCCTTTCAAATAATCAAAGAGGGAAGAATGACTATAAACTCACTCTACAAAGCCAGTATTTTCCTGAGAGCAAAACCAAAGACATTAAAAAAAGAAAAGGAAAATTATAGGCCAATATCCTTGATGAATATAGATGCAAAAATTATCAACAAAATGTTAGCAACCAGATTTGACAATACATTAAAAGGATTATACAGCATGTCCTAGTGAGATTTATCTTAGAGATGCAAAGATAGTTTAACATCTGTAAATCAGCCAGTGAAATACATCACATTAACAAAATAAAGAATAAAATATTTAGATGCAAAGTAACTATTAGTATTTTAAAGGGGGGTCACAATTATTATTGAATAGTTTTCTATTAGTTTGAGAATGTATAGGTCATTTGGATTAATAAGAAGAGTATGTCACTGGAAGACAAAGACCCACCATTCATCTTTCCAGAAACCTACTAAATCCACAGCCTAGGTATATGGCGTGAGTGGGAATCGAACCTGCAACCCTTCAGTGTGCAGGATGACGCTCCAGCCCACGCACCACACCAGCCAGGGGTATCGTGTTTTCTGAAGGTGCGTCATCTCAGTGGATTTTATTTTATACCTACACAGGCAGAGCAGCTCGCAGTCACAATGACAGGGGGCCCCTAGTTTCCTCTGGGCTCTTCAGGGAACAGTGGACACAAACCCCAGTCACTGGCATTTGTCTGATTCAGAAACTAGAAATTCAGAAAGGAGGGTAACACAGCTTCACTATGGCTGTTCTTACTATTGAAAGACTGCATCAATCATAATTCTAGACACAGAAATTCTGTCCTAGGACAAAACTCCAAAAGGAAAGTTTCCCACTGAGACCAGGCTGGTATCGCAGCTACCGCTCTGCCTCTGCCTAAACACCTAAGACACGCCTCCCTCCCGAGAGGATGTGTCGACCTGGAGCCAGCCTACTACTGGGTGACCTAAGGGAACCCTATCTGCCTGTTTCTGGAAAGAGCTCAGAATCAAGAAATAGCGAACTGAACATCAAGAACAACAGCATGAAGGCATAAAGAAAGGATTCAGCACTTTAAAATAATGTATGAATGCACTTAAACCACACTGCATTAAATATTCCAAACACATAATTAGAAAACACATGTTAAGAAAATGAAGTAAAATGTCTTAAATATTTGTTTCTCTATAGCTATAATTCATTATAGTAAGGACTCTTGCCATAAACAGTGGCTGAGAAATAAAGGAGATACTAACAGAGTGAGAGGAAGAAAGGATAAGTGGAAATAAAAACACAGGAATATAATTTATATACTCATTAACATAGTTGAAAACCATCTGAACACTGGAGAAAATCTAGTCAGGAGTGTAGAGGACATGCTGAAGAACTCTCCCAGAACAAAAGGAAATTCTACGCATGGTTAATCACATGTAGGTTGACTCTATTAAATAGTGATGGATGTTTAAAATTCAAAGATATTAGAAGGGTTAGTAATAAAGGAGAAAGCACATGAGATGGAAAGAAGTGGAGGAGGAAAGTAAAAGGAAGGAAGGAAGGATAAAGATGATGGAGAAAAGGAATCATAAGAAGGGAGGTGGGAGGAGGAGGAGAAAGTGATGTGAGACAAGGAAAAACTGGAAAATGAGGGGAGGAAGCCATGGAGGAGGGGGAGAAAGGTGAAGGGTGAGAGAGAGAGAGAGAGAGAGAGAGAGAGAGAGAGAAGGAGGAGGAAAAGGGGAAGATGAAGAGGGAAGAGAGGAGGGGAGAGGAATGGAGGGCAGAGGAGGAGCACAAGGGAATAAATAAATGGAAGAAGAGAATGAGCAGAAAGAAGGGGGAGAGGGAGACAGGAAGACAAGGAAAGTAAGGGAAGGAGAGGGGGAGGCGAAGAGGGGGATGGGGGATAGAAAAGAGATGGAGTAAAAGGGGGAGGATAAAGAAAATAGTGGGAATGGAAGCGAGGAAAGGAAAGAGGACAGGAGAAGGAAGAGGTAAGTGGGATCATCTCGGGTTCTCTATAGCATTCATATAGGAAGAGCAATGGGGCAAATTCTACAGAATTCAGGCAATAGAACAAGTTACACAGAAGAGCGTTGTGCCACCAGAATATGGGACCCAGAGAAGGGTCATTTGTGTGTATCTGCAACTAAAAACATTCTCCGATATGTTATCTCAGAAAGTATCTCACTGCTGTAATATATTGCTCACAGGGCTACTCTAGCTGAACAAAAATTCGGCAAAATAAAGGTATGAATAATGACTAGATTATAGAATAAAGAAACAGCCAACAAGCATTGAACCAGAATTCAGAGAAAATAATGACTACAAATATGGATGGGATAAAACTAAAGAATAAAAATGCCAAAGAAAAATCTCAGAGAAACCATTAAATTTCTTTTAAATAAGAAGAAAAGAAAGGACCATAGTAAACTGGGTCTAAAGTCTTAGACTCTATAACAAAAAACAATGAAGTGGAAAGAGAAAAGGAAATAAAGGTGTTCTAGCATCATCTTTCATGGGAAGAAATATAACCAAATAGTCTCACTCTTGATTCTGAAAGGGAAATAGCTGTGCTACCTAGATATCAAAATCAACCAAAAACAGCACAAGAAATAAAAGCACAAACCAATATTTTAATCAATGAAGATGCAAAAATTCTCAGCCAGAATACCAGCAAAATCCAACAATATATAAAAGACGCATAAACCATGACCAAATGTTCAAGGAATAGAACATTTGAAAAACAATCAATGGTATTTATAAGCTATGGTAATCAATTGTATTTATAAGCTAAAAAATAAAAGTCATATCATCATGTAAAATAATGTCAAGAAAACATTTGACAAAATTCAATACTCATTCACAATAAACATTCACACCAAGTGATAGCCAACTGGTTTAATGCAATTACAACTGTAATGAATACAATTCCTATTATAACCCCCAAAATGGTTTTATAGACATAGACAAGCTTAGTCCAAAATTTATATGTAAAGGTGCAGACCTTAGAATAGTTAAAACAATCTTGACGAAGAAGAATAAAATGGGAGGAACCACTCTGCCCAGTATCCAGGCTGACTCTGTGCTACGGTAATAAAGACAGTGGGCTGTTGGCAAAGGGGTGTCCAATGGGACTCAACAGAGAACTCAGAAATAGAACCCCACAAATAGGTCCAACTGATTTCTGACAAATTACTAAATAAAGGAAGGATAGCCTTTTTTATACATGGTGCTGATCAAGTGAGCACCCATAGACAAAAAAAAAAATAAAGGATTAAATAGAACTCAACCTAAACCTTATACAAAAATCAACTCAAGATAAGTGTAGGCTGAAATATAAAACTACAAAACTTTTGAGGAAAAAGAGCCCCCAAAACAGGAGGATATCTTCAGGGTCTAGGGCTGGGCAAGTAGTTAAATTCATGCCAAAGCAGGACCCACAAAAGAATAAATTTATAAATTGGACCTCATGAAAATTAAAATTTTTCTCTGTGAAGACCTTTCCAAGTTATTTCATCATGTTCAACTAAGTCTTTTATACCATATTTTTAACATTTTGGTAAAATGAAGAAATATTTTAGTCCCTAGTTTCAATATTTTTATAATTTCCTAAATACAAGTTAAATAAGTTTTCTAATCACTGAGATAATTAACATGTGCTTAAAAATAATTTTAAGGTGTTTGAAGTTTTGTAAAATATATTAGACTTTTGGTTTTAATTATTTTTAATGGAATGTTTAGAAACTTTTGATTAAACCAGTTTGTAATCAATGTTTAAATGAGAAAAATTTAATTGGTTAATTTTTAATGTTCTGATTAGTCTAAGAAGCATTTAAATGTTCAGAGAAATATGAATGCATTTACACATTTACTTAATTGTGCATAAAGTGAAGTACAACAGGAGCGAAGCTCTTCTGTGGGTCTGGGAGCAAGTCGGTCACTGACTGGTGACCCTGCCCACGCAGGCAAGTTTCCACCCTCTCTGTACAGCCTCCCAGCTGGCTGGCCGCAGCTCTGGAGGGGGATGGTCTTACCTTATGGGGCTGTCCATCCTGGACACTGTGAGGAAGGCGGCAAGGTTGGCCGTGTAGGAGGAGCACACGATGAGGGTGAAGAGCCACCAGCTGCCCATCACGATGCGCATGGCCACGGAGTTCACAGAGGACTCGCCACCTGCGGGAGGGGCGGAGCAGATTGGCTGTGGCTGTTGCTCCCACCCGCCCATGGACCTGCTCTGGGCAGGGAGCCTCCACGGTGATGGGCTGGGGACCAGAGAAGTGGCTGCCAGCTTAGCTGGGGCGACTATGCCAGTCTGGGAAAGACCTTAAGACACCAGTCTGGGGGAGGGATGGAGGACCAGAGGACACGGAAGGCCAGGATTGGCCTTTTCCTGACATGGTATCTGTCAAAACACCAAGGATAAAGTCCTGCCACCCAACTCTCCCAGTTAGCAGGCTCCGCCCACTGTGAGGATGTGCTGGTGGCCACCTGGCTGAGGGCAGGCCCAGTCGCTTTCAAGGTCACATGGAGCCTCATCGGGCATTCCACAGACAGGAACTACCTCCTACCCGCGGGTCCAGGCGTCCTTCCGACCTCAGCATGAGGGCTGCCTGGCACCTTACGCACATGCATCCCTCACTGCATGGCTCTTCCCGGCTTTCAGAGGGGCTGCCTCTGCGAGCCAGTGCTCCCCAGGCTCCTCCGTGGCAGCAGGAAGAGCTTCTGACTGCCTGTCCTTACACAACCCCACGAGCACGCTGTGCTACGGTGCAAACTGAGCCAACACTCAGGTAAGGGACTTCCCAGTCCCTGTTTCTGGTGAAAGCTGCACAGTCCTGTCACTCCACAGGCACTGCCCTGACGTCCTGGGTGGGAGGCTTGCTATGTCCGACGCGGCTGCAGTGCTCTTAGGTCATTGCCAAGCAGCTGTCGTGTTTTCCCACTAAAGCTTCAAATTGAAGCAAGATTCCTTTGGTTTGACAGCCCCGCGAGCATAGAATCATTCTGGCATGGGAGGGGACCGTGCCAGGCGGAACGCCACAGCCCACTCTGCCTAAAGTGGAGAATCGGGATTTGAACTTTGCCAACAGGTAAGTTCTTCCAGGCGATCCCAGCACCAGGAACCCAGGAAAGTACCTTGTTGTACGAAGGCTCCGTAGACGATCCAGATGGCACTGTGCAAGGTGGCAGACGCGGATGGCCGAGGCTGGGCAGCAGCCTGAGCCGTCACGGCCTGCATCCGGTTCAACACGAATATCAGCACGCCCACCACAGGGATGGCTGCCGCGATGCAGGCCCAGACCGCAAAGTCAAACGGAGCAAAGAGAGAGAAGATGCTGATCTTCTCCTCGGGCTTCTTGAGTAGGATCCCCACCGAGTAGTCCATGTACCGCTTGCTGAAGTCCACCACACTCTCCCGCTCCGGGGTGATGGTGATGGCAGAGATGGCCAAGTCTGCTCTCTGAAAGGCAAAAGGTCTCATCAGAGGGCGTCGCGGCTGACACTGCTCTGTCCAGAGAAGACGGGATTCTGCAGGTGACACCCTGTGACCTTACATGTTTTAAGGCAAATCCAGCTCTTAGTGGTCTGATCTTACCTCCTTTACACTTCTCTCCCAAACCTAGCAGCTCCAGGAAACTGTGGATGGAGACGAGAGGCTGGAAAGCATCTGCCTCCTGTGTGACGTATAGTTTTCTCCAGCTCCTCCCTGCTGCCCCAGCAGCTTCCTCCTTTCTCAGGCTGGTCTGTCCCTCGGGCCCACACACCACGAAGCCCTGTGTCTTCCAGCCTGTCTGGGTCCTCCCTAGACTGGGAGCACAGACCCTCCACTTTCCTGTCAAGCCTCCCGGGCCCCCAGCCTGCCACACCCTGATGGCTTTCGTTTCAAAAATATTTTGGAAGTTGTATGGTGAGCTTTGCAACTACCTTGAAGCTCATTAATGTATCAGTAATGATTGCTCATTAATGATTGTTTTATATGCAGAGACTATGCCAGAGAGTACCATCCACCAAGAAAAGGGCCTCGCTTCCCTTGTCCCACCTCCCTCTGCCGGGGCCTGCATGCGGGGCTGCTTCGTCACAGGAGCACCGAGCCAGGAGGGGACTCGTGGGCGAGCTGCACTGTGACCTGAAACGCACCTCTCAGGACTTGCTTTCTAAGATGGGCTTCATTTTAAAAAGAATCAAAGACCCCCATTAGGATGGAAGCAGACGATGAGAGCGCTGCCAACTGGTAGAGGTTAGGGTTCTTGTGCCTGCCTAGAGGGACGCTGGCAGGCAGTCCCAGGCTGGAGGGCCCGCCTCAAGCCCCAGGCCACTACGGTGGCCAGTGGTCATCTGGATCTTGGCTCTTGAGCCTTGAGGTCAGAGGCATCCTCAGAATTAGGTTTAGTTTAGATGACCAATCATAACAACAGATCTAACCTATGTATTCAAATTGGGAGAACATGCATAGATTTTATCAGGCTTAGTATGTGGGCTGGAGGGTCAGACGTGCTGATGTTCTGAACTGAAACCCAACAACACACCAAGAGCAGGAGAAATACTGGGGTGATGGTGTTGGCTCTCCTCCTACACTTTCATGTTTGCATCTCTGGTCTTCGCCTTTGACTGTCTTATCACAAACCTCAGACCCAGGGGTTCTGTCCGCATGCTTGAGGATCTAGACAAGTTGGAGCAAAGCTGACTGAGAAAAGGGCCTGGGGTGAAGGACACGTTCGCCGCACAGGATGGAGGCAAACTATATGGCGCCAGGTGCAGAGGAGCCAAGGGAGCAGACACAAGTGGAGGGTGGCCCGGGAGCCGGAGGAGAAAGGTCAACTTTTGAAACGTTCTCTAAGGAATGCTGCCAAAGGACCCGACCAAGGACAAGGCAAGGAGCTCAGGCTGCCCCGAGGCCCTGCTGGGGCAGAGCCACAGTGCCCATGCACCCACCTAGGGACACCTGGGATTCCCCCATCTGTATGCAGCCACCTGAACGTCAGGGTCAGAGGACAGATAATAGCATCAAGACAGGGTTTGGGGGCAAAAAGAAATCAAAAACAGTGAGAATCACAAAACATGGAGAATCAACCACGGAGGCCCAGCAGGCAGGAGAAGAGGAAGGATACGAATAGCACAGAAACCTTGGGGAAGGATGAACCTCAAACCCAGATGTGGAGTGGGAAGGGCCAGACACAAAAGATCACACATATTATAGTGAATGTTCATGAAGGCGAATCTATGGAGATAGCCAGGAGATGGGTGACTGCCTGTGCTGGGTGAGAATGGAAGTAACTGGATGAGTGAGAGAGCTCGCCGGATGGTGGATATATTCTAAAACTATGTTATGGAGATGGCTGCACATCTCTGCAGGTTTTCTAAAAATCACTGAACCGTACATTTGAAATGGGCGAATTTTATGGCATGTAAGGTATACTACAACGAGGTTTATTTAACGTCTGGGGAAACTGCATAGCAACAGGCCCCTGGTCTGCCTTTAGGGGTTTGTAAAGCAAAGGAGCTGTGTTTAAGAGCAAAGCCACGAAAGACCCAGAAGTACAGCAGGTGGTAGTCAAGACATGTGACAGTGACAGCAACACGGAGGGTGCTAAAAGATGCATGAATGTGCCCTGCCAACATGGCTCAGTGGCTGAGCATTGATCTGTGAATCAGGAGGTCATGGTTCAATTACCGGTCAAGGCACATACCCAGGTTGCAGGCTCAATCCCCAGTGAGGGGTGTGCAGGAGGCAGCTGATGAATGATTCTCTCTCATCATTGATGTTTCTCTCTCTCTTTTTTAAAAAATATATTTTATTGATTTTTTTTACAGAGAGGAAGGGAGAGGGATAGAGAGTTAGGAACATCGATCGGAGAGAAACATTGATCAGTTGCCTCCTGCACACTCCCTACTGGGTATGTGCCCACAACCAAGATACATGTCCTTGACCAGAATCGAACCTGGGACCTTTGAGTCCGCAGGCCAATGCTCTATACACTGAGTCAAACCAGTTAGACCTATGTCTCTCTCTCTCTCTCTCTCTCTCTCTGTCTCTCTCTCTCTCTCTCTCTCTCTCTCTCCCCATTCTTCTCTGAAATATATATATTAGAGGCCCGGTGCATGAAATTTGTGCACACAGGGCGGTGGGGAGTGGGAAGGTGGGGTGGCTGTCCCTCAGCCTGGCCTACGCCCTCTCCCAGTCCAGGAGCCCTCGGGGCCTACACCGTCAGTCAGACATCCTTAGCACTGCCGCAGAGGCAGGAGAGGCTCCCACCACTGTCACTGTGCTTGTCATCCCTGAGCCCGGCTTCTGGCTAAGCAGCGCTTCCCCTATGGGTTGGGGCCGAAAACAGCTCTCTGACATCCCCCCCAAGGAGTCCCGGATTGTGAGAGGGTGTAGGCCAGGCCAAGGGACCCCATTGATGCACAATCAGGGCTGGAGAGGGACATGGGAGGTTGGCCAGCTGGGGAGTGACTGCAGGAGGGCTCCAGGGCATGTCCAGCCTATCTCACTGAGTCCCGATTGGCCGGACCACAGCAGCAAGCTAACCTACCAGAGCGCCTGCCCCTTGGTGGTCAGTGCAAGTCATAGTGAGGAGTTGAGCATCCTTAGCATATTACACTTTGGTTGGTTGAATGGCCGACCAGTTGACTAGACACTTAGCATATTAGGCTTTTATTATATAGGATATATATTTTAAATGTATATATATTTAAAAGATACATGGATGTGGGTACTGAGTGAGGAACTAGCAAAAGTCACTGGTGGTGAGAAGTTCAAAGCACTGTGACCCCACAGCTGTCCACAGGCACTGCAGAAACCTCCGGGTGGGTGGTGACAGGGTGACAGTGACCGTGGAGAGGATGGGCTTGCATCATAGGCCACCATTCTAAATGATTGTGAGGAAATGGCCAGAGCTCCTGAGATGACAGGGGTAGGAATGGGGACACGGTGACTTGGCCTCATGTGTGGGCCTCAGTGCGGTCTTGGGTTCCACAGCAGGGAGAGGAGTAATGGTTCCATATTGGTGGACGAACTGGAACTGGCTGAGGAATGCCATGCCAGCTGCACACACAGTGCAAGCAATGCAGACACACACACGCATGCACACACACACACATGCACCTCACTGATGGGCCACGTGAGGGAGGAGAACTGGCATCAGCAATGCCCCCATTGAGAACGAGTTCCCCCCCTCAGCACACATGTGGGGGTGGGCTTCCTGGAGTACATTACAGAGCAGGCACAGGGACAGGCTGCTCAGGAAGTGGAGCAATGGGCACAGAAGGAAAACAGAGAGAGCCAGGGACTGAGCAAAGGAGCAGGAAACGGGGCATGGTGGGAAGACAATTGTAGAGAAAGAGAGCGCTTATGTGTGGAAGTGGTAACTGTGGTCCCAAGGTTCCAGCTGCTCAATGGGCCTCATTTGGGTACCCCCACCAGGCAGGCGGGGTGCCCCCGGGGACCTGCTGCTCAATGGGCCTCATTTGGGTATCCCCCCCCCCAGGCAGGCGGGGTGCCCCCGGGAACCTGCTGCTCAATGGGCCTCATTTGAGTACCCTCCCCCCCAAGGCAGGAAGGTTGCCCCCAGGGACCTGCTGCTCAATGGGCCTCCTTTGGGTACCCTCTCCCCCCCAGGCAGGCGAGGGTGCCCCCGGGGATCTGCTCGGGAACCTACCTTGCTGATGAGCTCCCCGATCATCCCGTTCCACGAGGTGTTGTGGAGCTGGTGGCCATACCCGCCGTCGGGTGCCTGGTAGATCTCATACTTGAAGCCCAGGGCCTTGGCCAGGGCATCCAGGACGTCCACGGAGAAGCCTTTGTAGCGCTTGGGCTGCCCGAGGATGTTCTCGGCCACCATCACAAAGGGCTCCTCCTGAGGCCACAGAATGAGCAGTGTCAACACCTACCAGGCCAGCAGCCACATGCCCAGGTGCCGAGACCGAGCTGGTGGCGGCAGCTGGAATGCTGCAGACAGTGCACGCCTTCACCTGGTGAGGCTGCAGCCTGAGCCCTCTGCCCTTTCCGGGCACTCGGTCATGCTGGAAGGCCCTGTGGCTGGCATGCCATGGGGCACAGTCCCGGCTCTGCCCCGACCTGTCCCCCAGGTCACACGGCTCCTTCCACTCCTTCACCTGTGACAGCCCAAGCTCTGCCCTTAGGAAATGCCATCATTCCTCAGGACCCAGCTAAGAGGCATGGATATTTCTCATCCAGGAGCTTAATGACAATGAAGGTCTGCGATGCTGGGCTGAGAGAAGCGTAGCATCTACCAGGCTGCACTAGGGAATGGATGCTGATTCATGGGCCATGAGCATATCATAAGTCAAAGGACAGGAGATGAGAGGACTGAATCCCAATCCCAAGCCACGCCCTGCACACAGCCACATGCTCCTGCAGGGGCGTGGCGTCTGGGAAACGCCCGGGCGCTGCCACCCGCCCTGTGGCCCTGAACAAGGGGCAGCCTCTGGCAAACATATCTCATTAATGTAACGGTTTTTGAGGGAAAGGGATGTGCTGCTTGTCTGTGGTGTGCGTACAGAGGGCGCTGCTGGCGAGGGTGTGCCTGCCTGGACAGAGGGAGGTCTGCACCTGCCCGCCTGCTAACCAGAGCTCACCTAAGCTTCCTCCTACAGTTCTCAACAGGTTAGAGGAGAAACTGAAAGGAAGATGTCGCTAAGGCCCTGATGAGGTAATGTTTATGATTCCAGGACAATTGTGCAGAAAAACTGCCACCAATAGTCTTCATTACGAAGCCTGTGTCACGTGGCCCAGCAGGGGTGCTGGGTGCCGAGAAACGTCCCCTCGCACCCACTGCTCTGCACGCCTCTGGGAGGCAGAGGCCGTGCTCTTCCGTCCTCACCACGTTGACTATGGCGCGAACAGTCCTGTGGGAGCTCAGGCCACCACGGAAGATCCCGTCTCTCCAAACCTAGCCCGAAACCAGACACACCTCCGCCTCAGAAGCCGGAGGAGCCCGCCCACCCCTCTCCCCTCGGGCCCAGGAGCCCAGGATCCCAGGAGCCCAGGAGCCCAGGAGCCCAGGAGCCTACCAAGACAGTCACCACTTTGAGAGTCAGTCCCTGGAGGCGGCTGCCCATGGGCCTCTCCTGCAGGCTGCCGTTCAGGCCCTTCTCCGAGTCCCACGTGGCCAGCTGTGAAGGAAAGAGGGAGCGTGAGGGCCGATGGCGCCTGTGCACAGCCTGCGGCTGCTGCCTTCACCGGCCGAGGCACGGCAGGTGCACTGACCGCGGGGCTCCTCAGAGACCCGGGGCCGCCCTCAGGGACAAGAGTGTCAGAGGAGGCTGCCCAAGGGCTTGCCCCATTCTTCCAGTGAAACCAACGGTCAAAACCTGTCTCTGTAGTGACCGTCTGTGCCGCTTCATCCTGTCCACTGGCTGAAGCCCGGTCACCGTGTCACCCACAGAGTGCCCTCTCCCTTCAGTTACTCCTCTGACTCTCCCAGACCAGAGGGCCTGGCATTCGCATGGCCACCGCCAGCGGTGCAGGATGGCGCTCCGCAGAAGCAGGTGATGGGGTGTAGCTTGTCCCCCCCACCCCTGGGGCCTGTGGCAGACCCAGCGCTCACACCTGCCTGCAGGTGTAGGTCATTTCCCGGGCGTGCACACGGAGGCCGGAATCCCGTGCCAGGCCTGCTGCGCCCGAGCCTGCAGCGTCCTGACATGTTCCCGGGTGCTCTGGGCTCAGAGACAAAAGGAAACAGCTGTTCTCGGAATGGCTTCCCCTTCCCGTACTCTCCATCCCATCAGTGATTCCCGACAGCAGAAGGCAGTTTCCCCAACCTGACAATACCTACTGTATACCAAACCTTACCTTTGATATGTATATCTGCTTTGCTTTAGGGCAGTTTGTGTTAATAAAAAGCTAGGGGTCCAAAGATTCAGAGAACATGGTTACTGAAGCTAGGTCTCCTCTGGCTCCCCAAAATGCCTTCCAAATTTATATTTCATGTCTAGTCTCTTTATTAATTTACTTGAAGCCCTTATCCAGATTCCTGAACCCTCTAGATGCAGGGAAAGAACCCTGGCACCCCACTGTTCATGTGTGAGGGTGAAAAATGCAGGTACAGCCCCAGTTCCAGCCAGCTTGTCCAGATCAGCTCTTGGTCACGTGGGAAGTGAAGGCTTCCCTGCGATCCTGAGCGGCAGCCCCTGTTTTCCAGCCGCCAGGTGAGCGCTAACATGGGGCAGAGCAGACTCTCCTACGAGGGCGTCCGACCCTCCCCAAGCCCAGCCCGCCGGCAGGGCTCAGCTTCCTGGTCTGTGGTGAAGATGTGGACGTTTTAGCTCTCAGGCGATTCTACTGTGTAGCCAAGATCATGACCCACAGTATGGACTAGCACAGTGATCCTCCAGCTATGACAGGCACACAGATCACCTCCCTTCGCATGCGCTTTCTGATTCCCGGGCCCCCGATTACTTCTGTCCAGTGTGTTCCAGGTGCAGCTGCTGACCCATGGCCTCTATGTGAGTAGCAAGGGGTCCCAAGCAGCCTCTGCCTTTCTTCAGGCCAAGAAGAGCCACCCCTCTGAGGAAAAGTGCCACTGGGGCCCTCACGGTGCCACCAGTAGTGCTGCCTAAGGACACATCTGCTCTCCCGGCACCTCCCTAGCCCTGACATCACAGCGGCTGCACACAGGACCTCGCATCTGGGGCCATTTCACCTGGAAGATGCTGCACCCGGAGGCCTAGGGCAGGCACAGCAGATGACGCACATGCTCCAGAACCAGCTAAAAGGAACCTGGAAACTCCTGCTGTCACTCAGGCCTGACCACGAAGGCCCACACTCCCGACTACAGGCTGCCCTGCTGTGAGGACGAGCTGCTCGGACAAGAGCGGGGCTGCTCTGAGGAGCTCCCCAGACCACGGACTGATCTTAGGGGCACTGCAGGGAAGAGCAAAGTGAAGATCTACCCAATACTCCCTTTCAGGAACCCCAGAGACACCAAGCTCTGGGACTGGCGCAGTGAGGAGACCGCACGCTGTGTCTCCCCTAGTCTCGGGAACGGCGCTGGGCCCGGAGCAATCCTGCAGCGGATTCAAACGCTGCTCAGAGGAAGAGCACACACTCAGCCTAAAGGGCCACACGGTACTGGCCCAACTTCTCACATGCCCACAGGGCCCTGTGTGCATGCTGGCCGCCGCACCTGCTCTCCACGATGGCGCACAGGCCTTGGGGCCGCTGAACCCCAAGGTGCGGTCTGCTGCACCTCCTGGGCTGAGGGCTGGACCCCTGCAGAGACATCCTGGAGGCAAGCCTGTCTTCGTGGTGACAGACCCATTCCAGGGAGGGCACTCTGTCCGGCACGGGGACTGGCATTTCTAACACCTGCTGCCGAACCCCCTGGCCTGGGTGAAGGCACTCCTCCGACCCGTGATGCCCGGCGTGGGTGAGGGCCTGCGATGGGCTCCGCGGGTCCTTGATCAGCCAGCTCCACCGGTGTCTCCACTGGGATTGCATTCAGCCGTGGAATGGAGAATGGGGCTGGGAGAAGCGGTGGGATGAAGTGAGATCCTCTGGGTTTCCACTCCGCTCCACGGACTGCCCCTCGGGGCCTGTCCACGCCCCTGGGCCTCCAGCCACTGCCGGGCGCAGGGCAGCGGCACTCTATCCCAGCAATTGCACCGCCTCCCGTTGGTCTCATCACCCCAACGCCCTCTCTCCCAGCCCCTCCCAGGTGGGGACAGGTACCTTTACAATAAACAAACTCAAACATGACTGCGCTAATTAAATTTTTCCAATGACTTCCCATTTTCTACAGGATAAATCCTAACACTTTTAAGCTTGGCCTAAAAGGAAGGCCTTTCTAATGCAGACCCAACCTTGACTCTCAGCTTCACTGCAGTTTTCACAGCCACATGCATCCCCTGCCCCCGCCGCCAAGCCCCTCGGATGTCCACGCGCATCACGGTCCCTCCTGGCACATCGCATCCAGTCCCTTTGCCTCAAGTGCCGCTCCTCTTCAGCTGAGTCCGGCAAACTCTTACTTATTTTTAAAGTTTTCATGTTAGAACGTGTTTGATTTACAGGGAAGTGGTAGGGGGTGTCCACACAGTGCACACAGCCCATCCCAGGTCCTGTCATGGTTCCGTAAGTGGGGTCTGTTCCCACAGCTCACAGCGCTCAGCCATCTTCCACCCAGCAAGGCTGCAGGGGAAATGACCCCGTGTCCTCCCTTCTGGCCCTACTGTGACCCAGCGGTGTTCCAGAGCTTCCCCCCAGCCCCCCCGAGCCCTGGGGTCCACCCCTGATTCTGAAACTCAAGAGTCTCAGTACTTTGAACTCGGCCGAAGCCGCGAGCCCCAGGCTGCGGAACCCCGAATGCCTCGCTGCTCCCATCTCCGGTTTCCATCCTGCCTGGATGCCATGTCTCTTAAAGATCACGTGCCATGTACCCGCTACAGAGCGTGGAAGAAGACGGGGCCTTAGAGGCGTGGGACGGGCAGTCCGTGAGCCAGCAGACCTTGTTCTGGCTTCCACCACTTACCTGAACGCCGCAGCCAGCACCTCTGAAACTTCACTGAAATTCCACTCTCATATCCAGAACATGGAATAAAAAGACCTTCCCTGCCTACCATGTTGAAAGGCTATTCAAAGGAGAACATCGTTTTTGCTATAAACTGTTATAAAATCTATAATAATAAAAGTCTATTATGCTAATTAGACCAGACGTCCTTCCAGATGACCTTCCAGATGAAGCCAGGGCTGCGAGGGAAGCCCGGGTCCCAGGTGCCAGAGGGAAGCCAGTGCCGGCAGCCCGGGGAAGACCTACTCTTGCATGAATTTCGTGCATTGAGCCTCTAGTACAGTGGTTCTCAACCTTGGCTGCACATTAGAATCACTTACAAACTAAAATGGCAGGCTGATTTCACCCAAAGGTCCCGCTTTCCTGATCCCTAGTAGCTGGCATCTTTATTCTATTCTTCCCTCCATCTAGAATATTCTACCTCCGATTGAACTTTTCAAAACACTATCCTTTCAGATTTAATTTACCACTTTTAAAAATTGTTTTCTGCCATGTTTTCAGAAAGCCCCACTTTATCCCGTAACCAGAAGGGACAGACCTGACTCGCCCCAAACACACTGTGCCGCCCCTTTGTACGGACCGCGGTCCTCCATACATCCCCACAGGGCCGTGCCGAAGGGTGTACTGTCCACAGGCGCTGTGACCACATTTCCCAGCCCACATGCTGCTCCAGGAGTGACTCCGCCTGCTCCCTAAGCAGGGAGGTAACCCGCTCTCAAAAGCTGGTCTGAGTCCGGTGCTGCACGCCCAGCCAGTTTGGACAAGGCCACGAGCTGCTGCCTGGCCGGGAGGCTGGCCGTGGGAAGGGCTTTCAGCCTGGACCCCGCAGAGGTGTGATGGAGGAGCAGATGGGAGTGGCATTTTGGGCCACATCTTTCTTTGTCACAGGGGCTGTCCTATGCTTTGTAGAATGTTAATGGCATCCTTACCTCTACCCATTAGATGCCGAAAGCATTCTATCTCCTATTATGACAACCAAAAATATATCCAGATGTTGCCAAGTACCCCTTAGGACACAGAATCACCTCCCAGTTAAAACCACCAAGGAGAAGCCAGCTGCCTTGGAAAACACAGCAGCCCTGATACCACCATGCTGGAAAACTACAGGTGGTCAGCTGTGCTGGCCACAGTCCCTGAGGACTCCAGCCCTCCTGCCACCGATGACTCGCAGGGCGTGCAAGTAAAGCTGGGCATGTGAGGATCGGCCCGTCAGCCAGCGAGAACCATCTAGTGACCTCAGCTCATTAAAAGAAACATCAAGCCAAGCCCTGACCGAACTTCTGACATGCAGAATACTTAAGATCTAAAAATAATTCTGTTTACAACAGCAAGTTTGGGACGTTTGTCCTGCAGTAATAGTAGCTTGAACAGCATATGACACCCGGAAGTAGAGGGTGCCACAGAGAACATACAAAGCCTGTAGAATTGGCTTTGGGCCGTGTCGCAGGAGGAACCCAGAAGGACCTTAAAGAAACTCAGTGGAAGCAAAGTGGGCCCCAAGGAGACAGGCTGTGGGCGTTCAGAGGAGAGAGAGGAAAAAGCGATCAGAAGCCAGAGGAATGGGCACCCCTGTTATGTAGCAAAGCTACCACCAGCAGAAACATGGAA